TGGAGGATCCGTCACGTCTGCGGGCGCGGGAGCGCCGCGGAGGAGGCCGGACACCGAGGAGGCCGGCGACCTTGGGGCAATTTCCGCCGCCGCCCCTTCTCTCCGGCCTTTAAAAGTCCTTTATTTAATATCTCCTTTTCCAATCCCGGTTGACTATAAGCTCCTCGCCAGCATTTTTTTTTTTTTTCCGGGAGAGGAGGGGGAGTGAGAGGGAAAGAGCGAAGAAAATAAAAAAGGATTTCCGCTCAAAAGGGAGCGACAGTTCGGGGAAGGTTTACGTACGCAGACAGGAGCGGCGTTTGCGGCCGCCGCGGGCGCCGGGCGCCGCTGGCTGGACCATGCGCGAGCCGACCTCGGGCTGCTGAGCGCGGGACGCGGAAGCGGAGGCGACAGCCCGAGCTCCCCGCGCTCCCGGTCGAGTTCAGTCCGCGGGGCGGCGGCGGGATGGAGCCCGCGACCGCGCCCCGGCCCGACATGGCGCCGGAGCTGACCCCAGAGGAGGAGCAGGTAAGCCGGGCTGCGGTGGCCGCAGTGGGTGTGTCGGGCCCCGGAGGCCTAGGCCGGCCTCTGCCTCCCGAAGCCGCGCTCTCGGGCCGCGACCCGCGCGCGGCCCAGGCCCCGCAGCGTCCCTGCTCCAGCGCCAGGCCGCAGGGTGGCCTCTTCCCCGCGACGGCCGCGCCCAGGGTCGTCATCCCCCGAAACTGGGGGCGCTGCTGGACACTGCGCCTTGCGGAGGCTTATAGGTCTTATTTTGCCCCCCGCTATCCCGGTGGTAATTAAAGTTCCTCGAACTGGGGGGGAGGGGTCTCCCTTTCTCTCCCCTCCACCCCCACGTTTGCAGAACACCCAGTTACCCCGGCCCTTCCACTGCCCGTAAATGTATTGCTGCTTTTCATGAGGGTTTGTGGTTTTTTAAGAGCAGGAAAAGCCCCAGATTTGGGGGGAGTGTGATAGGCACTGGGTGCATAGATGCCCTGGGTTTTCAGATGAGCCCCTCAAGCTTCTCAGAGGGCTGTGGCAGAGCTGCCTTGGAATCTGGAGATCCTGGTCTTGGCCTCCCTATTCATCCCAGTCTGAGCGCATCCCCTCGCCCTCACTCCCTACCCCCGTATCTTCTGACTGCCTCCATCTTTCTGAAGCCTACATTGAGCTCCATTGTCCCTTAAAGCTTATGATTTTCAGTGCCCAGTAGGAAGTGGTTTGCGGTATCAATTTGGGGGCTTGGGGAAGGGAAAAGGCCAAGGCCTTTATAACTTTCCGTCCTCCACATTCCAGCTGTGGAGACATAGACCACTCCATCTGAGGAAGACAGGAAAGTCTGATAGTCAGGATTGGGAACCTTGAAGGCTTTTCGCTGTATCTTCCTTGGCACTGCCCATACCCAGCCTTAGCTATGCTCAAATATAGCTACAGTCTGATTCCATGTTTGCTTGTTTGTTTTTAAAGACATGAAAAAAGAAAAAGGTGAACATTTGAAGCTGTTCAGCCCTTGTTCTCAAGGACCACATTTGCTAGCGGAATCCCTAGTGTGAAGACAATCCAGCTTTACAAACTCATATTGGCTAATGGGCTTGTTTAAGACCTGATTTTAAAAAAAAAAGCCCTTGAGTTTTCTCCTCATTTGTGGAGATGGCGTTTTTCATGTTTGGCCTCAGATCACAGTCTTGTCTTTTGATGCCTTGAGATAAAATCAGCATGGGAAAAAAAAAGAATTCTGCTACGTACAAGAAGTGGTAACATCCTGGTAACTGCAGTTGAGTGTTAATGAAACACGAGTCCTAGGCCATCCTGTCAGAATTAGTGCAATACTTCAGTACTAAGGTGTGATGTATTAGGTTGATTATAAAGGGGCAAGTCTCTTTAATTTTTTTCCCTTGGGTTAGTCAGATTTGAAGTTTCTATGTTTCTAAGACTTAAAGGCAGCACTATCCTATTATGAAAATGGCATTAAGTTGCAAATTAAAAAATACAACCAGGGAGAGTGAATATTAAAGTATCAGTAATGATATTAACTTGAATTTATTCTGTATATAGTGTATGTATATACAGGTGTGTTGTTTAACTAGTAAAAATCTTGTCTTTCACATTAGAATGAATGCAATGGGCATTAAAGAGGACTGGATGGAAATAGTAAAATGTTTATATGTCAAGGTCAGGATTTTTTTTTTAATCATACCTTTTGTTTTCTACAAAATGCCAAGTTTTCTATAGACATTTCAAAATTTTGAAACACAAACATGAAGGCAGAATAGTTCTAATTATGGTAATGCCTGATATTCTCATCTTTTAGTTTAATATCACATAAGGAAGAGTACTCTTAAGATTTCTTTAAAATATTTAACGGGAGCAAATGCATGTTAACCTCATCAAAGTAGTTGTAATAGGAAATGACACACTCATTCCGTAATGTTGCCCCATTGCTCAAACCAGTTTTGGAACTCATTTGGAGTCGATTTCAAAACTGTGGCAGAATCTTTGAAATATCTTCTGTGTTGGAAAATCTGATACTTTTAAGAATCAATTTGATTTTGGAAACTAGCAAAAAAATCTCTTGGAACCCCATTTCATAGGTAAGATAGGAGATCAAACTGGGTTAACACAGTTTCAGGCAAAACTGAAATGCAGTTAAGCCCTCTTTGGGCTTTAAAGATTTTTCTGGGGCAGATTTCTCCTGAAGGGTACCTCCTTCCATCCAGTTATACAAGACAGAAACCTTTAGCTCTTATTCAAGAAGCCAGAGTCAAGTTGCATATCACAAATCTGATTGCATCTTTCCCTCAACTTGCCTGCCCTCAAAATAAGCATTCATAAATCTTCAGCGGCTTTCTATTGCTCTTGAGATCAAGTTGCAACTCTTTAATATGGTCTACAACGTCTAGGTCCTTATTCAGCCCAGTACCCTAGCTAATTTGCACACTTCATCTGTGCTCCAGGCCTACTGACCTGTATGTCCTGCATTCTTGCCATGTTTCCTCCTCCTATAGGGTCTTGGCACAAGCTCTTTCCCTCTGGAAATACCTCCCACTGTTAACTCCCGTTTCATCCTTCATCTCTCAGCTTTCACTTCCTCAGGAGGGCCTTCCTTGATCTTCTCATCTAGGTTAGATCCCTTGCTACTGGCTCAAAGAGAACCATGTACCTGCCCTTCACAGCACTTATCACAGCTGCACATTTACGCTTATTTGTGGGATTACATGACTGTAATAAGCTCCATGAGGATTGAGACTGTCCTAGTTAAGAGGATGTTGCACATTGCCTAGCATAATGCTGGCACTTAATGGGCATTCTGGAAATAACTGAGGAATGAATGAAGAGTACTTTTGCATGTAATTTGTACGAAGGCAGCATCATCTCTTGTAGTGGCTAATTTTTTAAAATTGTGCTTTAGGTAAAAGTTTAAAGCTTCAATTAATTTCTCATACAAAAATTTATACACATATTGTTATGTGACCCTAGTTGCAATCCCTATAATGTGACAGCACACTCCCCCTTTCTACCCTAGGTTTCCCATGTCCATTCAACCAGCTCCTATCCCTTTCTGTCTTCTCATCCTGCCTCCGGACAGGAGCTGCCCATTTAGTCTTGTGTATCTACTTGCACTGAGAAGCACACTTTTCATGAGTGTTATTTTATGTTTTATAGTCCAGTCTAATCTTTGTCTGAAGAGTTGGCTTCGGGAATGGTTTTAGTTCTGGGTTAACAGAGAGTCCAGGGGCCATGTCTTCTGGGGTTCCTCCAGTCTCAGTCAGACCATTAAGTCTGGTCTTCTTAGTGAATTTGAGTTCTGCACCCCACCTTTCTCCTGCTCCATCAGGGACTCTATGTTGTATTTCCATCAGGGTGGTCATTAGTGGTAGCCAGGCACCATCCAGTTCTTCTAGTCTCAGGCTGATGGAGTCTCTGGTTTATGTGACCCTTTTGTCTCTTGGGCTAATATTTTCCTTGTGTCTTTGGTGTTCTTCATTCTGCTTTGCTCCAGGTGGATTGGGACCAATTGATGCATCTTACATGGCTGTTCACAAGCTTTTAAGACCCCAGAACCATTGTAGTGGCTGATTTTTTTTAAGGACATTGCTCACTTTGATATACGGTTTGATATATTTTTTTTTAGTGGGTCATCATTATTACTTCATACTCTCATTTCCTATCTACCCATGTGTTGAACTGACACACCAAATCCTCATTTGTAACTTTGATTTTTTTAAATTTTATTGCGCTTTAGGTGAAAGTTTACAGAGCAAATTAGATTCCCATTCGATAGTTTGTATAAAAAGTGTTTCATGGCCTTGGTTTCATTACTTTGATGCTTCTTGACTTTATAGTTTTCAGTTCTCAATAATTACAGAGCCTGCAATTGGCTTACAAGAAAAAAATGTGCTCTGCCCTTAAGGAGCATACATGAATAACAGTAACTGTTTCCTGAGCTCTTGCCTCCAGTCAGGCTCTGTGCATTTCACATACAGTTAATCCTCGCAAGATTGGAATTAGTCCCCTCATTTTGCAAACAAGAAAACTCAGACTGAGAAAAAAAAATTGCGCACATGTCAGCCATTGTCTGGGTCATTCTGCCTCCACTGCCAATGGCCCCTCTATTATACGACATTACTTCCCATGAAGCAATTAGCCAATTTACTAAGGTGTCTAAGTGGGTAGTATATAATAGCTAATTTTGTGGATTTGGGTATGTGTTTGCTTTTGATGATGCTTCTTAAAGCATGATTTAAAAGATGTATATAGAAAGAGGAAAAAAATTGGAAGACTTTACTCAAAACTCTGTATTGCCAGCAGGCACACATCATACAATGTATGCAAGAAATTGTGATGAAGTTACTCTTGGGAAAAGTGTTCTTTATGATAGTGTTGGCAGCTGTCCATTTTGAGGTGTGGTCACAATCAGAATTTTATTTTCTTTGTATCTTCTTTTTCTTTTGCACAAGAGAAATTATTATTCTTGCAGCCAGATATGAAGAATATTCTCTCTAAACTGTAAAATCCAAGGTGTTTTTGTGTCACTAATACATTCTCTTTTTGATATGTTTATGTGTTAATATAAAAGGCTTTCTTAATGGGCTCGCAGAGTTGTAAATTTGGCAGTGTGAAGGGTAATTTCTACATAGCAGTACTAACCTTCTTTATGTCAGTAACTAATTTTTAATTTCACTTTTCCAAAGCATGCACTCACATTTGTAACTTGACCTGAAATGGGTAATTTTATTGAATTTGCTAAATTATAACTAATTTGACCCCAGGGAATGGAGTATTTTATCCTACTGTTCTGTGTCTGTGTAATCCAGAGGAAATTAGATGAGGCTGCTTGGATTACATTTTTGTCTTTTTGGACATAAATTGTGAAGAGAACTTTTTGTCCTTGAAATAAGTCATAAAGTGAAGTGTCTTAATTAGGACTCTAAGACATTTGAATTCAGTAATTTGAACCTGTTAGGGTCTTTGATAGTGCACGAATATCACAGTAATGATTGATAGATAGGACAATAGAGTAGTTTTCT